ATCTCAACTGTATGTGTACAGTGTTTATCTCAGCTGTATGTGTGTACAGTGGTTATCTCAACTGTATGTGCAGATGTTGATCTCAGCTGAGTGTACAGTTTATCTTAGCTGTATGTGCAGTTGTTTATCTAACTTCTATGTATTGTTAATATCAACTGGGTGTTGTCTTTGTCTCAGCTTTATGTTCACATTTTTAAAAATCTATGCTGTTTGTACATTATTTATCTCAGTTGTGTGTACACATGTTTAGCTCAGCTGTATGTACACATGTTTATTTTATCTTTATGTCCACATATTTATCTCAGTTGTATGCTTTATCCTAGCAGTGTGTATATATGTTTATTTTAGTTATATATCCTCTTATTTATTTAAGCTGTATGTACACATGTCTACTACAGATGATTATTGTTGTATCTTGCAGGACATAATGTTCCACATGCATGATTATTGTTGTATCATGCAGGACATAATGTTCCACATACATGATTATTGATGTATTTTGCAGGACATAATGTTCCACATACATGATTATTCTTGTATTTTGAAGGACATAATGTTCCACATACATGATTATTGTTGTATTTTGCAGGACATAATGTTCCACATACATGATTATTGTTGTATCTTGCAGAAAATAATGTTCCACATACATGATTATTGTTGTATCTTGCAGGACATGAAGTTCCACATACATGATTATTGTTGTATTTTGCAGGACATAATGTTCCACATACATGATTATTGTTGTATCTTGCTGGACATGAAGTTCCACATACATGATTATTGTTGTATCTTGCAGGACATAAAGTTACACATGCATGATTATTGTTGTATCTTGCAGGACATGAAGTTTCACATGCATGAGTTTATGGGATTCTCTAACACCGAAATCCAACAGCTGCTTCTCCTGTCTCCAAAAGTTTTCTTCGAAGGTCAGTCTCTGTTGTTGTCTGCCTTTTTCAATTTCCCAATGTCCTCGAATATTTTGTTGCGGTCAGTTCCTGTCATCTCCACTCATTCTCTTCTCCACAGACCCAGAGTATTTGTCTGTGATCAGTGTCTGTCATCTCCTCATTCTCTTCCCCATGTCACAGAGTATTTGTCAGTAGTCAGTCTCTGTCATCTCCTCATTCTCTTCCCCATGTCACAGAGTATTTGTCAGTAGTCAGTCTCTGTCATCTCCTCATTCTCTTCCCCGTGTCCCAGAGTATTTAGTAAGTCTCCTTCATCTCCTCATTCTCTTCCCCATGTCACAGAGTATTTGTCAATTGTTAGTCTCTGTCATCTCCTCATTCTCTTCCCCGTGTCCCAGAGTATTTAGTAAGTCTCCTTCATCTCCTCATTCTCTTCCCCATGTCACAGAGTATTTGTCAATTGTTAGTCTCTGTCATCTCCTCATTCTCTTTCCCGTGTCCCAGAGTATTTAGTAAGTCTCCTTCATCTCCTCATTCTCTTCCCCATGTCACAGAGTATTTGTCAATTGTTAGTCTCTCTCATCTCCTCATTCTCTTCCCCATGTCACAGAGTATTTGTCAGTAGTCAGTCTCTGTCATCTCCTCATTCTCTTCCCCATGTCACAGAGTATTTGTCAGTAGTCAGTCTCTCTCATCTTCTCATTCTCTTCCCCATGTCACAGAGTATTTGTCAGTAGTCAGTCTCTCATCTCCTCATTCTCTTCCCCATGTCACAGAGTATTTGTCGGTAGTCAGTCTCTCTCATCTCCTCATTCTCTTCCTTATGTCCCTGACTTATCCATGCCTGCCTGCCCTCTTCTGCCTGACTTATCTATGCCCAGTCTGTCCTCTCCTGCCTGACTTATCTATCCTACTCTGTTCTATCCTGCCTGACTTATCTATCCTACTCTGTTCTATCCTGCCTGACTTATCTATCCTACTCTATTCTACCCTGCCTGACTTATCTATCCTACTCTATTCTATCCTGTCTGACTTATCTATCCTACTCTGTTCTATCCTGCCTGACTTATCTATCCTACTCTGTTCTATCCTGTCAGACTTATCTATCCTACTCTATTCTATCCTGTCTGACTTATCTATCCTACTCTATTCTATCCTGTCAGACTTATCTATCCTACTCTGTTCTATCCTGTCTGACTTATCTGTACCTAGTTTGCACTCACCTCTCTGACTTATCCGTGCCTGGTCTGTCCTCTCCTGTCTGACCTCTCCTGTCTTATCCATGCCTGCCTAGTCTGACTTATCCATGCCTGCCTATTCTGCCCTCTTCTGTTTGACTTACCATTGCCAACTCTGCCCTCTTCTGTCTGAAATGTGTATATATGAGACCACTGTCCAACTTACTGACACCTGTAAGTATCCTCACTGTTGTGTCCAGCTCATTGTCACCTGTAAGTATCCTCACTGTTGTATCCAACTCATTGACACCTGTAAGTATCCTCACTGCTGTGTCCAACTCATTGACACCTGTAAGTATCCTCACTGTTGAATCCAACTCAATGTCACCTGTAAGTATCCTCACTGTTGAATCCAACTCATTGTCACCTGTAAGTATCCTCACTGTTGTGTCCAACTCATTGACACCTGTAAGTATCCTCACTGCTGTGTCCAGCTCATTGTCACCTGTAAGTATCCTCACTGCTGTGTCCAACTCATTGACACCTGTAAGTATCCTCACTGTTGTGTCCAGCTCATTGTCACCTGTAAGTATCCTCACTGCTGTATCCAGCTCATTGTCACCTGTAAGTATCCTCACTGCTGTGTTCAACTCATTGACACCTGTAAGTATCCTCACTGTTGTGTCCAACTCATTGACACCTTAAGTATCCTCACTGTTGTGTTTAGCTCATTGTCACCTGTAAGTATCCTCACTGTTGTATCCAGCTCATTGACACCTGTAAGTATCCTCACTGTTGTATCCAGCTCATTGACACCTGTAAGTATCCTCACTGTTGTGTCCAGCTCATTGTCACCTGTAAGTATCCTCACTGCTGTATCCAGCTCATTGTCACCTGTAAGTATCCTCACTGCTGTGTCCAACTCATTGACACCTGTAAGTATCCTCACTGTTGTGTCCAACTCATTGACACCTGTAAGTATCCTCACTGTTGTGTTTAGCTCATTGTCACCTGTAAGTATCCTAACTGTTGTATCCAGCTCATTGACACCTGTAAGTAACCTCACTGTTGTATCCAGCTCATTGACACCTGTAAGTATCCTCACTGCTGTGACCAACTCATTGTCACCTGTAAGTATCCTCACTGTTGTATCCAGCTCATTGACACCTGTAAGTATCCTCACTGGTGTGTCCAGCTCATTGACACCTGTAAGTATCCTCACTTTTGTATCCACCTCATTGACACCTGTAAGTATCCTCACTGCTGTGTCCAACTCATTGACACCTGTAAGTATTCTCACTGTTGTATCCACCTCATTGACACCTGTAAGTGTCCTCACTGTTGTATCCACCTCATTGACACCTGTAAGCATCCTCACTGCTGTATCCACCTCATTGACACCTGTAAGTATCCTCACTGTTGTATCCACCTCATTGACACCTGAAAGTATCCTCACTGCTGTGACCAACTCATTGTCACCTGTAAGTTTCCTCACTGCTGTGTCCAACTCATTGTCACCTGTAAGTATCCTCACTGTTGTATCCACCTCATTGACACCTGTAAGTATCCTCACTGCTGTGTCCACCTCATTGACACCTGTAAGTATCCTCACTGTTGTATCCACCTCATTGACACCTGTAAGTATCCTCACTGTTGTGTCCAACTCATTGACAACTGTAGGTATCCTCACTGCTGTATCCAACTCATTGACACCTGTAAGTATCCTCACTGCTGTGTCCAACTCATTGTCACCTGTAAGTATCCTCACTGTTGTGTCCAGCTCATTGTCACCTGTAAGTATCCTCACTGCTGTGTCCAACTCATTGACACCTGTAAGTATCCTCACTGTTGTATCCACCTCATTGACACCTGTAAGTATCCTCACTGTTGTATCCACCTCATTGACACCTGTAAGTATCCTCACTGCTGTATCCAACTCATTGACACCTGTAAGTATCCTCACTGCTGTGACCAACTCATTGACACCTGTAAGTATCCTCACTAATGTATCCAGCTCATTGACACCTGTAAGTATCCTCACTTTTGTATCCAGCTCATTGACACCTGTAAGTATCCTCACTTTTGTATCCAGCTCATTGACACCTGTAAGTATCCTCACTGCTGTGACCAACTCATTGTCACCTGTAAGTATCCTCACTGTTGTATCCACCTCATTGACACCTGTAAGTATCCTCACTGTTGTGTCCCAACTCATTGACAACTGTAAGTATCCTCACTGCTGTGTCCAACTCATTGACACCTGTAAATATCCTCACTGCTGTGTCAAACTCATTGACACCTGTAAGTATCCTCACTGCTGTGTCCACCTCATTGACACCTGTAAGTATCCTCACTACTGTGTCCAACTCATTGACACCTGTAAGTATCCTCACTGCTGTATCTAACTCATTGACACCTGTAAGTATCCTCACTGCTGTGTCCAACTCATTGACACCTGTTCAAAGATTTTTGCTCTTGTTCTCCTAGATAAAAACAAACTGGTCAAGAGGTTCGACTACCTGCACAACCACATGTTGATCTCACACCAGCAACTGCTGACCTGGCCACACATCCTGGCCAGCAGACTGTTTGTGTTCAAGGATAGACACCTGTTCCTGTTGCACAAAGACCGAGCCCAGTATGACCCGTGTAAGGAAAACTATGTCTCCCTGCAGTCGCTGTCGGCCATTTCTGATGAGGAGTTTTGTCGAACTGTGGCCAAGTCCGACCTGCAGGAGTTTCATAACTTTTGTAAGACGCTGTGAAATGTTGGCATTCAATAAAAATAAGGTCTTAAACTTACAGAGGATAATTCAATGTTTTTCAAGAGTTTTGCTCTTCTGTCTGTCGTGAATATATCATTATCTTAATCTCGACTTTCTGTCTGTGCTATAGCTCTGTCTTCAGCTTGTTTTGCCTTCTTATCCTCACTGTTTTCTTCCTCTTCTCTGGAGTTTTGTATTTCTGTCCTCACTGTGTGTTGATATTCATAACCTGCTTTATTAATGAAATACAACTGCTGTGTGAAAGATGGGAGTTTGGAAGGGCCGAATGTAAGACAGACGTGAGTGCCTAATTTGTAACCCTTTGAAAGTAAAGTTTGTTTATTTGTTCGTTTTCATTCTTCGGGGTCTGATATTTGCATTGTCACTGTCTTTCTTCCTGTTTACTGTCTTGTCTTCCTGTTTACTGTCTTGTCTTCCTGTTTTCTGTCTTGTCTTCCTGTTTTCTGTCTTGTCTTCCTGTTTTCTTTCTTGTCTTCCTGTTTTCTGTCTTGTCTTCCTGTTTTCTGTGTCTGCCATTTTGTTACAATAACTTTCTGATGGTTAATGTAGTGTAGAGTTTCTACTCTCTGGGATCTCATGTTTTCTCCTTTACTGCTGGTTGTGTCTGTCTGTTGGTTGTGTCTGTCTGTTGGTTGTGTCTGTCTGTTGGTTGTGTCTGTCTGCTGGTTGTGTCTGTCTGCTGGTTGTGTCTGTCTGCTGGTTGTGTCTGTCTGCTGGTTGTGTCTGTCTGCTGGTTGTGTCTGCTGGGTGTGTCTGTCTGCTGGTTGTGTGTGTCTGCTGGGTGTGTCTGTCTGTTGGTTCTGTCTGCTGGTTGTGTCTGTCTGCTGGTTGTGTCTGTCTGCTGGTTGTGTCTGTCTGCTGGGTGTGTCTGTCTGCTGGTTGTGTCTGTCTACTGGTTGTGTCTGTCTGCTGGCTGTTTCTGTCTGTTTGTTGTGTCTGCTGGGTGTGTCTGTCTGCTGGTTGTGTCTGCTGGTTGTGTTTGTCTGCTGGTTGTGTTTGTCTGCTTGTTGTGTCTGTCTGCTGGTTGTGTCTGTCTGCTGGGTGTGTCTGTCTGCTGGTTGTGTCTGTCTGCTGGTTGTGTCTGTCTGTTGGTTGTGTCTGTCCGCTGGTTGTGTCAGTCTGCTGGTTGTGTCAGTCTGCTGGTTGTGTCTGTCTGCTGGTTGTGTCTGTCTGCTGGTTGTGTCTGTCCGCTGGTTGTGTCTGTCTGCTGGGTGTGTCTGTCTGCTGGTTGTGTCTGTCTGCTGGTTGTGTCTGTTTGCTGGTTGTGTCTGTCTGCTGGTTGTGTCTGCTGGTTGTGTCTGCTGGTTTGTTTTTGCTGGTTGTGTTTGCTGGTTGTGTCTGCTGGACATGGCCTGTCTCTAGATGTGTGAAAGTGATGTGCTACTGAATCCACAGTACCACACATTTCTGTGAGGCCAGGTTATTTAGGACCAGCTCTACAGATAATATATGATGTGAGGTAGTGTGGGAACAAAGTATACAATAATCTTGAGGTATGATGGTTTGAGGAACAACAGTGTACAATCTCAGGTGAGGTATTTAAGGAACAACAGTACACAATCTGAGGTGATGTAGTTAAGGAACAACAGTACACAATAATCTAAGATGAGGTAGTTAAGGAACAACGGTACTCAATAATCTGAGATGAGGTAGTTAAGGAACAACAGTACACAATCTGAGGTGAGGTAGATAAGGAACAACAGTACAGAATATGAGGTGAGGTAGATAAGGAACAACAGTACACAGTCTGAGGTGAGTGAGATAAGGAACAACAGTACACAATCTGAGGTGAAGTAGATAAGGAACAGCACAAAAATCTCAGGTGAGGTAGTTAAGGAACAACAGTACTCAATAATCTGAGGTGAGGTAGTTAAGGAACATTAATACACAATCTGAGGTGAGGTAGATAAAGAACAACAGTACACAATAATAATCTGAGGTAAGCTAGTTAAGGAACAACAGTACGCAATCTGAGGTAAGGTAGTTAAGGAACAACAGTACACAATCTGAGGTGAGGTAGTTAAGGAACAACAGTACTCAATATGAGGTGAGGTAGTTAAGGAACAACAGTACTCAATAATCTGAGGTGAGGTAGTTAGGGACAACAGTACACAATAATCTGAGGTGTGGTAGTTAAGGAACAACAGTACACAATAATCTGAGGTAAGGTAGTTAAGGAACAACAGTACACAATAATCTGAGGTGAGGTAGTTAAGGAACAACAGTACACAATAATCTGAGGTGAGGTATTTAAGGAACAACAGTACACAATAATCTGAGGTGAGGTAGTTAAGGAACAACGGTACACAATAATCTGAGGTGAGGTAGTTAAGGAACAACAGTACACAATAATCTGAGGTGAGATAGTTAAGGAACAACATTACACAATAATCTGAGGTGAGGTAGTTAAGGAACAACAGTACACAATAATCTGAGGTGAGGTAGATAAGGAACAACAGTACAGAATATGGGGTGAGGTAGATAAGGAACAACAGTACACAATCTGAGGTGAAGTAGATAAGGAACAACACAATAATCTCAGGGGAGGTTGTTAAGGAACAACAGTACTCAATAATCTCAGGTGAGGTAGTTAAGGAACATTAATACACAATCTGAGGTGAGGTAGATAAGGAACAACAGCACACAATAATAATCTAAGGTAAGCTAGTTAAGGAACAACAGTACACAATCTGAGGTAAGGTAGTTAAGGAACAACAGTACACAATCTGAGGTGAGGTAGTTAAGGAACAACAGTACACAATCTGAGGTGAGGTAGTTAAGGAACAACAGTACACAATCTGAGGTGAGGTAGTTAAGGAACAACAGTACACAATTTGAGGTGAGGTAGTTAAAGAGCAACAGTACACAATCTGAGGTGAGGTAGTTAAGGAACAACAGTATACAATATGAGGTGAGGTA